GTGAACATTGGTGTGCTCTAGTAAACGTAGCAAAACACAAAAATGAAACTTTAGTAGACCACGTTAAATTATTTTATAAAGCATCTAAGCTTACTTACTACTGCAAGTTAATTTGGTCTGGATATCAAGTTTCTTGGAATCATGCAGGATCTCCATGGTAAAGTTTGTATATTGAGGGCATCTGCATCCTTAATATTCATGAAAATGTTTCAGTGTTTGTTCCAGANGAAAATGTTTCAGTGTTTGTTCCAGGGGAAAAAAAGACTAGAGATTTTATCTTTGTACAGAGAACATCCATTTGATTTGCATCTACTTATCTGCTTTTTTTTGGTAAATAGATAAATTACTATCTGTCTTTTTTTTCTTTTTTGGTGAAAGCAGTTGCAGAGATTGCTTTGGCATCTAAATTCCGTTAAACCTAGCAAAATTACAGTAACGGTGTCATGAAAATTAAATGGGAGAGAAAATTAGTACTCCGTTATATCGCCAATCTTCATCGGAGACCCATTATACCGCCTCTTCGCTACCGTCCAAATACTTGCTGGATTTGAAAAGTTAAGAAATTTATAGCGAAAGGTAAAGGGGAGTGGATGTTTTTTGTTTAGGAATTCCATTTTCTGTTACGGATTGGCTCTTTTCAGTTTAAGTTAATGCTTTTTTGTCAGTCGTCGACCAAAAAGTGTCCCATTTTAAAATTTAAAGGATATTAGTATTAAAGGTTAATATACTCAGAGTGATTTTATGGACATTAGTTGTGTGATGCCTCTTTTTATCTCACACATTTGTGGACCCATATCTTACACATTTGGGTCCACAAAATCCTGGGACAACAAAGTTGTGAGACAAAAAGGTGGCCTCACACAACTAGTGTCAGTTGTGTGAGACATAAAATAAAAATTTCCATATACTCATAAAAGATCAACTTAAATCTAGCCTCATACACTAGGGACAAATTGAAATTGTCCTAATTAGCTAGTTTTCCAAACGAAGGGTCTATTTTATTCGGTCGCGAAGGCAAATCTCCTCCTCCCCTTCTCTATGTATCTTCTCATCTTTCATCCTACACACTTGAGGTAAGTTTCCAAACAAAGGGCAATACGCCACTTGCTTAAATGCCTCAAGATTTTATGTTTGTTGGGTCTAGTATTAATACTGCACCAACTCACTACTCCTTTTTGTTGCTAACTAGTGTCTAAAGGTCTCGTCTTTATATGGATTCAAATTTTGCCGGGTCAATGGATGTAAACTTAATGTAAATGTATAATATAAACTATATTTTGCTGTTTGTTGTTTTAGAAGTTGTTTTTTTAGCCATTATACTTGTTTTCTGTTTTATTGTTGGGTCCTTTCTTGAGTAATAAGCAGAGAATTGAAAACCTTATTGATAATATTGTCTTGAGCCTCTTTTTTTAGTTTCAGCTCATCTTGTCGCAGTTTTTATGCTTGAAATCATAAGCAGTTGAACCTATACATTCGATTGTTCTTTGGCGTCCCGAGCCTCAAAATTTTTCTGTTTTACATTTGCATTTTATACCGTAGAATTGTTAAAAGTTCTTTCTCCCGTTATTAATATTTTACGTTTGATGATTATATTAGGTAAGTTTGAATAACACTCAATGTGATATATCATGAGATGCTATTTTAAGTAGCGATGCTGACATGCTGTAGTGCCGGTAAAAGTGAAAGCTTTTATGGGCAGTTGGATTTATGTGCTCTTCATTTCTTTTTTCCATTCCATTCAGAAAAAACAATGGTTGCACATTTCGAAGGATGATGTCATTTTGTTGACCAAACCCTAGAAATTTTGAGAAACATCTTTCATGTAGAGATTCTCTTTGTTAAACCATTTTATGTGCAACCAGTCAAGGGATGGAAATTGAGCTAGTCGTTTCACATTTCTATAGATAAAACAACCTGGTAGTGATTGCGTTATGCCTTGGTTGGTTAGTTTTCTGGTTGTATGTTTTATTTCTCTTTATTTTGGCACATGAATGACAGGGATTATGGACATTTGTAGATTATCTTGCTCACTCCTATTTAGAAATCAATCGAGCAGTTGATAATCCAGAGATGGACAAAACCTGCTTTTTGATGAGTAACATGGGTGTGGATACTTTGTGCAAGTTCTTCGAGAAATGAACAAACCTCATACATCTATCCTGAGATTTGTATGCTTTTCTTGTTTGTAAAAACATTTACCTTTCGGAAGCCTGCTATTATTCACTGATTTTATTTTTTTATAAACAATGCTTTGACACATGTTTTGCCTTTAGCCTTTTTCTCAACTGCAATAAAGGAACAGTACCAGTAAGTAGTAATACAGCTGCTGAAGGGCAGAATTCTCCTGTAAGATTAGATGTTTATTTCCATAATCTTAATTTTATATTGCAAAAGTTGATCTAAATCAAGAATATTCATGACAGGACAGTAGGAAAAAAAAGAGATAAGGTTTGGGTGATTAGCTCCAGCCAAAGGTTTAAACAAGTCTAAATTCCAGCCTTGATTTAAACAGGAAAACGAACGACAAGCTTCTTTGCTTAGTCTTTCTCTTTCCCGATTTGGCAGCTAATGTATATTTATTCTGATTTGCAAAGAAAATAGAAGTTTGACTGATCATATAGTGATTATAATGTGGTTTATCCTTACCATTCTCAAAAACATTAGTGATCATGATGTGGTTTGTAAAAATGTGATGCGAACATTCTGAACATTCTTCAGTACAGGGGGAATTTCCTTACCCCTGTAAGTTGCCCAATCAATTTTTTGGATTTTGTTAGCTCCCTGAACTTGGCTTAGCCAACATTGTACTGGAGCTAGCATTGCTTTTGTTTTTTGTAACTACTTTGCATTTTCTTGATGCCTTTCAATGATAATGCTCTTACTTCAAAAATTAAAAAATAAAAAAAAATTCTTCGGTCAGTGTGTAGGAATGGAAATGCTGTCATTTGGAGAATGTAAATTTAGCCGAAACAGCTGATGCTGCTTTTTGGTTGCGCAAAGAGGCGCTTGCAAAGAGATTGCCAATATCTTGTCAGGATCAACAGTGCCATGTCAGCGCCGAGGTCAATGTTGCTATGTCACAGAGGTGGGTAAGAACAATGTGGTTTAACTTTTCTCTGTTGGATCCGTATAATAGTACTGCAAACATTTATCTAAATTATTCTTGTTTGATTGAAGATGTGTGGCAAGACATCTATCTAACATTGTTTAGATTTTAATTGCCGACATTAATTTGAATTTCGAAGGAATACAAAGTTCAAACACGGAAATGATAATCCATGGTTTTTTTAGTTGTTAGCAACTCTTGCTCTTTCTTGGCTAGGTGGTAAAGAACTATATTTGTTTTGATAATTAGGTAATAAAGAATTGTAAGAGTTAAGGGAAGCATTTTGCATGCTCGTTAAGTTTTTCCCCAGATAAAATGGCATAATTAGTTCAATTGGAGAAAAGTACCTAGCCTACACCATTATCAATAAAATACCTAGCCTACATGTAGATAATGACAAGCCTTAGAAAGCATGTGGGCTAAGTTACTCGGTTGTAGCTTGAATTGCATCCCCTAACAGGTTTTCTCTCATTGAGAAAAAATCTTTTTTCGGAATTGCTGCTTTTCTGCGAAGTGCTGATGGAGCTCGTAGGCCTTTGTGAGAGGACATCTAGCAAATATAAGTGAAACATGTGGAGTACTCAAACTAATATCACAAACACCGAATGTTGTATGTAGTACAATTGATAGGACAACCTCCAATGAAGTGAGGCCTCAAGTACTGACAATCTGTAGTTCCGTTGGTTTGAAGGAACTATTCAAACTTAAATCACACGGTCATCGATCATAAACTTCATCCATATGTAGTGCTGGCAAAATTTCAATTCTTTTGATAACCCGCCCAACTGCATGTGGGTTGGGTGAGTGATTTTTGTCACATGGGTAAAATATGGCTTAACCCATTTAAACCGCAATAAATATGAGTGAACGGGTCAGCCCATTTCCCCTATTCTAGGTGTAAATAAAATCTGATTCTTTTACTTCTCTTATGCTCTCTATCTACTTGGGGAATGGAGATCCCACCAGCTCCTCCTCCTATGGCGAGTAGTTCATCGTGAGCGGAATTTATAGGGGAGAGGGGATTTGACTGGCAGACACGTGGCTCATTATGCATTGCCAGATCATAAGGTTTAGCAATTCGATGGTGTAAGGCAATCGGCACCGTTGATTTCTAGTGATATGAGCCTGATTGAGGTCCTTTTGATAGTGCTGAGGAAGAACATAATTTACTGATTAGAATCTTCAATATCACATTAATATTGCTGATGATCTCTTTTTGTGCTTCTTGATATGATAGGTTTGCATATTAGAGAACATCTAAACAGTTGAAATTCATATTGCAAAAAGGTGTTTTGGGCGTTGAGGTCTGAATTTGGAAATTTGTTTTTAGATGACATTTGTTGGTTATACTTTTGAATAAAAGAGTGGATTTGATTCATAGGCTGATTCTCCTTTTCCATTTCTTCCTTTTAATTATTTTAATTATTTATTTTTGCCTTCAGTTTTCATTTTTCGCTTCACTTTGCCTTCATTTATTGAGCATTTAATTTGAGACTGCAGATACATCTAAAAAGAAAGAGGTATTTCCCTAGTTCTTGTCCAGCACCAGCTTTTTCTCAACTCTACAACTATAAAACAAATGATATTTTGTCCTGTTTTTTGTTTGTTTTAGTTTATGAATAGCAGTAGGATACATATGGTCTCTCTTAAGGATTAGCAATTTTTACAATTATGTGTGAAGTTTGGAATTACTTAAGTTTTGGACTTTTGGTTATAAAAAGACCAATCTATAGTTTTTGTTTTGCAGCGCAGAGGTTTACTTAAGCTAAAAAGCTGAAGGTGTAGAATATATGGGTTGACCCATATAATCCATCACTCTACCCATTTTCAACCAGTATTAAATATGGGCAGGTTGGGTTTTTACCCATTTTCCCTCAACCCATCTTCAACCCGCACAAACCCAACCCAGTCTGCTCACTTACGAGCACCTATTCATATGATACAACAAGTTTAATCCATAGGTAGTGACACTAGTTACAGAAAATCTTATACCCCATCGGGAACCTAAACCATCGAAATTTAATATTTGCTAGATTCTCAATGTTATGGTGGTAAGTCGTCCTAGATTATTTTAATAACTTATGAGAAGCTACCCTAAGCACTGGCTAGATGGGGATAATGAACCTACCCTCAAGCTGTTGTCAAGCACAAGCACCAATGTGTTTCATTAAAGCTTATCAATTCATATTAAGATAAATTGACATAATTTTGTTCCTTATAAACAAATAACTTGAATTGACACTCGCAGCCATGTACATAAGCTGCTACTAGTTTGTGATAACAATCTCAATCTTTAATATGTGAAAGACTTGCTTTATTTTACTTTTGATGGGCTAAACAAAATGACTGTTGTAGTAATGAAATGGAGAAGGGAAAAAGGCAAGGGAAAAAAAGAGAAAGGGGAGAAATAAAGAAGAATAACAGAGCAAGAAGAAAGAGAAATAAAGAGAGAGAGAGAGAGAGAGAGAGAGAGAGAGAGAGAGAGAGAGAGATAGGGGAGTGGAGGAGAGAGGGAGAGATAAAGGGTAAATGAACGCGAAGGAGGAGGAAGTAGGGAGAGAGAGATTGTGTAGAATCAGTTCAATTCGGCAAGTTATCTGTCCTTAATAAAATATACAGGTCGTACCTATATAATAGGCAACCCAATAAGTTATAACTCTTGAAACAATAGGTCTCTAAGATAGATATGACCTAATTCAAACTAAGATTTAAACAAAATCAAACAAGAAACAGGGATTAGGCTAGACGTTACGAGCTACGTCAAATGTTTTGTTTGCTGAAATCAGAATTAATGCTATAATTAAAAATAGAACATAACATTTAGCAGAACAGAGACTTCAAATTTCCTTAGTGAAAAGGTCGAGGGATATAAAAATGACTACGGCATCCTTCTAGCCCACACATGATCCACTGAAAGAAATGTAAATAGCATGCAATGCAACTCTTTGTAAACTCTGTCCATTCCTTTTCCTTTTCCTCACTGAAACCAATTATGTAACTGCCACAAACTCCAAAAGAGCAGATAGGCTGAATCTCATTGGAATTCTTGCACATATAAGAAGAATTGAAACTTAAAAATTTGCAAGACCTTCTCAACTGTTGGAGTTGATTAGTGTTTAGACTACCGTGAACATAAGAACCATTTGAATGTCTTAATTTTCAAGGGTTCTGAATGAACAAGTTATGACAAAAGGATGAAGTGATGAATTGGTCGAATACGAGTTTCAAATGCAAGTGTCTTGATAGTTGGGTATGGTCTCAAGAAGCTAAAGAGAGTCCGAGATTGTTCACCTCTTTATTCAAGTTCTGAAAGAAGTGAATAATTGAAAGAAAAAAGATTCATATCCCAAAATTTGTAAGTTGGGAAGCATCGGAACATGTAGATTGTCAAGAAATATGCACATCCTATGAGTCCTCTTGAAATTTATGGTGTATGTATCCTTTAGGATAAAATTGGGATCATAGAAGGATATTAGTGATGATTTTGATAGCAAATATTTTAGTCATTCAAATGCCTACAGTCTAATTTACAAACAAAGTATGTCTCATTTACACCTAAGAAGAATTTTACCGTCTCAAATTCTATTAATTTAGGTAATTTGTTCGCATGCCTGGTTGCAGTGCTTAACCCAATAGATCTAGCTTTTGAAGGAGGGTAGTCATTATGAACTCTCAGATGTAACTATTAAGTCTAGCCTCAAAATCTACCGCATACACATTAGCTCCATGTGATCTCTAACCTCAATTTGGGTATTCTGCATGTTATCTTGAGGAGCTTATAATTCAATTGTTTATTTATTATCCTATTTGCATTAGTGGTGGCTTCAACTTCCCATTCTGTTCTTTATATTGTCATGGCATTTTGACTACTGATATGATGTTTTCTTCTTCCTATTGTACTTTCCAAAGAGGGGAAGAATTTTAACATGTAATCTTTGGGTCTTCATATTGGTTTCATTTTCGGCTTTGTTTGTGCAGATTATTACTGTCGTTCAAAGGTGGGCGTTCCACAAAATCTCTGCCATTCTCCTCTTTCTGTTGCAAGTTATACTCAAGTAGAAGTTGCAATGAGGTGTTATCAAATGGTGTTGCAAGCAGGAAAAAAGAGATCAACTTTGAGCATTTATTCAAATCCTGTACCAAAATCTACATTTTGAAGTGCCTTCATGCCCTTCTTGCTGTGTCAGGGAAGGCTCAGAGTATCTTTATCGGCACTAGACTTGGGAATCTTTATGCTCACTTGGGTGATGTTTCTTTGTCTCAGAAGACTTTCTGCATGATAGAGAATAAAGATGCTTATACCTGGAATTCCATGATATCATCTTATGTTCGTAATGGCCATTTCCGTGAATCTCTGAATTGTTTGAATGAAATGTTGTCCACGGCTGATGTTAAGCCTGACTTTTACACTTTCCCTCCAGTGTTGAAAGCTTGCGGTAATATACTTGATGGTGCAAGAATACATTGCTGGGCTTCGAAACTTGGCTTAGAGTGGGATGTGTTTGTAGCTGCCTCCTTGGTGCATATGTATTGCCGTTTCCAATCATCTACTGTTGCCTTCAAAATTTTTAAGAATATGCCTTTTCGGGATATGGGTTGTTGGAATGCTATGATATCTGGATTTTGTCAGAATGGAAATGCTATAGAGGCATTGAGCCTGTTGAATGAGATGAGATTAGAGGGTATAAAAATGGATTCGGTGACTATCGCAACAGTACTTCCTATATGTGCGCAGCTTGATGATATTGTGCACGGGATGTTAATTCACTTGTATGTTATAAAGCATGGCCTAGAATTAGATGTCTTTGTATCGAATGCCTTAATAAACATGTACGCCAGATTTGGTGAGTTAAGACATGCACAAAAAGTATTTGATGATATGATTGTAAGAGATTTAATATCATGGAACTCTTTAATTGCTGCGTATGAGCAAAATAATGTACCTGAAAAGGCACTGAAGTACTTTCATGAGATGATGGTAAATGAGATTCAGCCTGACCTGTTGACGATAGTGAGTTTAGCTTCTAGTACAGCTCAGACCAAAAATTTCCATTGCTGCAGATCTGTTCATGGATTTATATTGAGGAGATGTTGGATTCAGGAGGATGTTATTGTGTGTAATGCTGTTGTGGATATGTATGCAAAATTGGGTTTTATTCATTGTAGTCGTAAGGTATTTGACGAGATGCTGGTTAAGGATGTGGTGTCCTGGAACTCAATGATCTCAGGTTATGCTCAAAATGGTCTTGCAAGTGAGGCTATTGAACTTTACAACATGATGAAAAAATGTGATGACGTAGCACCAAACCAAGGAACTTGGGTTAGCATTTTGCCAGCTTATGCTCATCTAGGTGCGTTGCGAGAAGGAATGAGGACTCATGGGCATGTTTTCAGAGTAGCTCTGAATTTGGACGTCTTTGTTGGTACCTCCCTCATTGACCTTTATGGTAAATGTGGAAGACTGGATGATGCCATGTCTTTGTTTTACGAGGTGCCTAGGATGATTACAGTCCCTTGGAATGCCATAATATCATGTCATGGTATTCATGGAAATGGCAGGGTTTCTCTGAAACTATTCAATGATATGCTGGGTGAAGGTGTTAAACCAGATCATGTAACATTTTTATCTCTATTGTCAGCTTGTAGCCATTCAGGATTAGTTGATGAAGGTAAGAGATACTTTCATATGATGGAGCAAGAGTTTGGCATCAAACCTGTTCTAAAGCACTATGGTTGCATTGTTGATATGTTTGCTAGGGCTGGGCGCCTAGAAACAGCATACCGTTTTATAAAAAGCATGCCTTTGCAGCCTGATGCTTCAGTTTGGGGTGCTCTTCTAGGTGCATGTCGAATACATGGAAATGTTGAGTTGGGTAAATTGGCTTCAGATAATTTGTTTGAAGTTGACCCGGAGAATGTTGGGTACTATGTCGTGTTGTCTAACATCTATGCTAATTATGGGAAATGGGAGGGGGTGAATGAAGTGAGATCATTGGCTAGAGACAGGGGGTTGAAGAAGACTCCTGGATGGAGCTCAGTTGAACTGAACAATAAGATTGAAGTCTTTTACACAGGAAATCAATCTCATCCGCAATGCCATGAGATATACGAGGAATTAAGTATTTTAACTGCTAAGATGAAGACCCTAGGTTATACTCCAGACTATACTTTTGTATTACAAGATGTTGAGGATGACGAAAAGGAACAAATCCTTACCAGTCATAGTGAGAGATTGGCTATTGCTTATGGAATTCTTAACACTCCTCATAGAAGTCCTTTACGGATCTATAAAAACTTGCGGGTTTGTGGAGACTGCCACAATGTGACTAAACTTATTTCTAAGATAACAGAGAGAGAGATTATTGTGAGGGACTCTAATCGCTTTCATCACTTCAAGGATGGTGTTTGTTCATGTGGGGATTACTGGTAACATGTGCCCATAATTCTGGACAGAAATTTTGACCTTTAAGGTTGATATCGTTATGGTATAGGTGCTGCAGGAAATTTATTTGTTCTTCTCAAGCTGCTGTACTGTCCTGTGAATGATGAATCCCGAACTCTGTAATGGAATAGAGATTTTTATGAAGGCAATTCTTTCATTCTTTTAAATATTTACTTTTCTCTAGTGGGTGTAGTTACATAACTGTCATTTGTTGCAAGTAAAGTTAGAAATTTTAGACTCTTTTAAAGCACCATAACAAATTCTCTCTTGGAAACAAGAGTACGTATCTATTTGTTAGTTTTAAGGTTTTACCAGACATTTCTAAGTAAGCTAAGTTTTCTAAAATTAATTGATATGCTTGTCTACTGCAGTGTTGTGAAATGCGAGCGCTTCCTCGCTTAAAGCGAGAAGCGAAGCGAGGCGAGGCGAGCCATCGAACGCTTCTGTTAGCTGAAGCGTAGCAGGTTTAAAAAAGCGCTCGCTTCCCATTAAAAAGCGAGAAGCGTAGATGCGAAGCGATGCGTAAGAAGCGAGCGCTTCTCTGTATTACAGGGCTGCCAACCTATTTAATTAAAAAAGCTGTTCTTTTTTTAAAACATCATCGACCAGCAGAGAAAGAGGCGTCCTAGGGTTCAAGTTTTCTACACTTTTCAACTTCAAGATCATCAAGTTTGGTCCAGGTATGTGATTTCTTCTTCCTCCTTCTTCTTCTTCTTCCTTTTTTTTTTTACCTTCAGTTCTTCTTTCTCATTCTTCTCCTCCTCTTCTTCTTCATTTTCTTGCACTGTTTTTTCGTTTGAAATGCTGCCCAATTTTTTCGTTTCAGTTATACTTATTCTGCCCTTCTTCTTATTTTCATATCCTTTATTCTTAGTTCTTATTGCCTTTCTTATGTGTTATGTAGTTAGTTCTTTTACTGGCCTTCTTCTTAGTTGTTCTTATTTTTTCGTTTCAGTTGTTCTTTCTTATTTATTTATTTATTTTTTAAAATTTCGCTTCACTTCAAAAAAGCGAGTGCTTCGCTTCTCGCTACGAAAAGGGGCATGTCGCTTTTCCTTGCTTCACGCTCTTCACAACACTGGTCTACTGTGAGGCAGTGACATGCTCATTTTTTTCCAATTTCAAACTAATATATAATTTATCAATTACCTTTTAAGAATTTGTCTGCCTGAGAAATGTGGGGCATATTAAAAAAGAAAATCAAGAAATGGAGCTTTCACTTATATCATTACTTTCTATATTTCCTGTTGCAGGCTGGACAGATTCATGTACTGTATATCCGTCCCTTGTTTGTGCTGGTCCTGCTGACCAACTCAAACACTGTTTATGCTTCAATTCACCAGCTCTGCAGAAGAGAATACTATTGAATTTGCTGGTAAGAATTTTGTGATTTACTGAGTATGAAGAAGCTGTCTGTGTTTTTTGAAACCATTCATTGAATGTGTGTATGTCTCATGAAACTTTTGATATTAGGTCATGCGAATGGGCTAAAGCCTAAGCTTATTGCTCATGATTTTACCCCGTGCTGTGTAAGTAGCTGATATCTAGGATTTGTATTCTGGAGTCTCGAACATGTAATCTCAAATGCTTTACTGGCCTTCTTTTGACATTCTTAAATGGTTGCACCTGGAGACGTCCAGGCATTTTCCCCTTTTACTCCCTACTCCCGACAAAATCAAAAAACAAAAATGAATAAGAAAAGAATTAAAAAAGCTAACCTATGACAATTGTCACCTGTTTGAGTCCTTTTAGCCAACTCTTGGACTTTTTTTTTTCTTTTTTCTGAAGAAGTTAACTCTTGTACTTTTACTCATTGGACTTTGATGTCTTCTCTTAGATTGAGTTTGAAGAGGTCCCATCAGAACTCTACAGATCCCGATTTTGTTCTCCTGAATTTGAAACTTCAAACCTGTTTTTCTTTTTCGTATCTCTCATTTTCTCTATCTAGGGTAAGAGTTACTTGAAAAAAACTAGA